ATCTATAAAAGCTTTTATGAGTTTGTATTTGAAATTGACTCACAAGCCTGACTGTGTGACATGAAAGATGAAGAAGCTGTTATCTATGTAATAACAGACCTCTATTACACTGAAGTCAAGAACTGGCTGAATTATCTAGAGAATGATTATGAGAGATTCTGCTAATCTATTCTCAAGATCTATCTAGAGAATAAGTTGAGAAACTTTATAAGCTGAACAGAGAACACCTGAGCTGTGATTATCAATATTAGAAAAAGAGGTAAGAAATCTGATGAAGACTACTCACAGTGCTTTATAGAATTGTGATGTGAATTAAGACCTGTGAAAACAGGGCTCTGAAACAAGACCTGAATAATGATATTTATGAAGAAGCTGAATAAAGACATGCAGAACAAGCTCATTGAGCAAGACTCTAAGCTCTTGACTCTGAAGAAACTGATGACTCTTATTCACTGCTTATAAATCACTGTGAGAGTCACAGATCTGCAGAGAGCAGATCACTGATCAGCTCTATGAGAGTCTGAATAATAGAGAACAGATTTATCAGAAAAAGATAATAAGACACAGAGAGATTCATATCTGACTACTAAGCAGAAAGAGAGAGCTTCATAAGCTCTTATAAACAGAGTGTATAATAGAAAGATTAAGAAAAAGAGACTCTGCTTTATCTGTTCTAAATCAGAACATCTTCACACAAACTGTCTGAACAAATTAAAATAGGAATTTGAGAAGTCATGAACAGAGTCAGTAACAGCCTTCTTAAGAATCTTGAAGCTGATATCTGAATCTGTTACTTCTCTGATGAAAATGCTTACTTATGAGAAGAGACTGCACTGTGATACTGCTACTCTGTAAGTATAAAAAGTATTGATGAACTCAGGATTTCAGGTCACTGTAATATCTCTAAAGCTCACAGAGTGAATAAGCTGAAAGATGAAGACTGAGAATCTGCTCTTACAATAAGCAGAGTATGAGAACTCAGATCTGAGAGCTGAAAGGCTCACAAGAGCTATCTTTGAATTGCAAGATCTCTCTGAAATCTGAAGAAGATTTACAGAAACTGTGATTATTGCAGACATTGCAGATGATATGTACTTGAGACTTACATAACTTTAAAGACACAATTCACACATAGCTGTTCATAAGTCAGGTTTATACTTTCAATCAGTGTTGACAGACTCACTCACAGAGATAGAATCAGTTGATACTGTAGAGTTGATTAGAGAAGATAAGCTTATCTATATAATGACTTTGTAAGTGTCTGAGAATCTCACAGTCATGAAAATCAAGCTTCAGATATTAGAGAAATACTGAGATCTTGCAGAGATGTTCAGCTCAGTAAAGACAGCTGAGCTTCTCTCTCATCATAAGAAGAATCTGATAATAGATTTGATAGAAGAGTAGAAATCCTTCTGAGAATCAATCTATAAGCTCTTTCATTATGAGACAGAGGTCTTACAGATCTATGTAAAGAAGAATCTGAAGAATGACTTTATCTGATCTTCACAGGTCTTCACAGGAGCCTCTGTGATGTTTATAAAGAAGAAGGATGAAGATCTCAGATTATGTGTAGATTACTATGATCTGAACTTCAAGATAATAAAGAGCTGCTATTCTCTATCTCTGATTAAGAATGTGATCAACTGTCTTGTGAGAGCTGTCATATTCATACAACTGAATATGATCAATGTATATACATGACTGTAAATACAGTCAGAGAATGAATAAAAGACTGTTTTTAGAACTGTACTGAGATTGTTTAAATATCTAGTGATGTCTTTTAATCTGACTAATACTCTCATGACATTTCTGTCTTTTATTAATAAAACACTTCATGTATATCTGAATGTCTTTGTGATAATATATCTGAATGATGTAATGATGTACTCTGCAAAGAAGAAAGAACACACTGAGTATGTGTGAAGTGTGTTAAAGGTCTTAGATGAGATAGAACTGTATATTAAGCTTATAAAGTGCAACTTCAGTGCTCACTGAATTAATTTCCTAGAATATGTAATCACTGCAGATGATATTCAGATGAAATCTTTACAGATTGAGACTATTCTATTATAACTGAAGTCAACTAGTATTTATGAGATTCAGATCTTTCTGAGCTTTGTGAATTTCTATAGACAGTTTATCTTTGTATTTGTGAGAATCTTCTTAACTCTTACAGACATGCTGAAGAGTGAAAATAAGAAGAAGTTATTCTGTAAACAGAGAATGAAAAGATTGTTGAGAAGAAAGAACTGTGAGAACTTTCTTATCTCAGAAGCTCATGAGATCTTTATAAGATTAAAACAGATATTCACAGATACAGTGATGCTGTTTCACTTTAATCTCTTACTCTTAATCAGATTGAAGACAGATGTCTTCTTCTTTGCAATTTCAGAAATAGTCTCATAACTACAGTCAAATGAGAACTGAGTTTCAGTGGCCTTTTTCTCTCAGAAGATACAACTCACAGAGATCAACTATGATATTCATAATCAGAAGCTTCTTACAATAGTGAAATTCTTCTGTCACTGATATCACTACTTTGAGAGTCTTGTGACAGTGATTACTGTTAGAACTGATTATAATAGCTTGTAATAGTTTACTTCAATTAAGAAACTCTCACAGTGACAGATTTACTGAGCTCAGAGACTGAGTGAGTTCTGATTCAAGATAGAATATATTAAGAAAATTAAGAACTCAGCAGACAGACTCTCTAACAGGTCAGACTATATTAAGAAGATCAGGACAACAGATACAGAGAGACTAGAGAAGACAGAAAAGCTTCACAGAATGCTCAGACTGAGTGTTGTGAAGAGATTGACTGAAGAGTCTCTCAATTCTCTATAAGAGAAGAAGAGAAGAGAGAAAAGAAGCCTGTATAACTACTCTCTATAACACTGAGAGTCAACACTCTAGAGATCTCTGTAAGAATTCTTGAAGAGAGTATCTATAATCTGAAGAGTTTGCAGGCTTTGAGAAGCACTGCAGAAGACCTGATATAAGAGAAAACAGAGTATAAGTCTTTGTAAGATCTTCTATTCAGATTGTCTGAACTGCAACTGAAGAATAAATATGCTCAGTATATTCAGAAACTGCTTTTAACAGAGATTAATCCTGCAGAAACAAAGAATTGAAGAGACTTAAATAATCTCTTATAAAGAGAGAGCTAGATTTATATGCCTGTGAATGAGTTTCTATGTATAGAACTTATTAAAAGGTATCATGACTCTTCTCTAGCAGGTTATTTTACAGATACTAGAACTCATGAGTTACTTATAAGAAAATACTTCTGACTGAAGATATGAGAACTTGTGAAGAAGATAGTGAATTCTTATACTATTTATCAGGGTTTGTGAGTAGTGTAGTCCAGATTATATGAAGAACTTACTCCTCTACTCATCTCATGAAAACCTTGAGAACAGCTAGAAATGAATGCCCTTATAAGCCTCTCTGAAAGCAAGAATATATATAATACCTGCTTTGACAGTGTGCTGATGATAGTGAATTACTTTATCAAGATAACACACTTTATACTCATCTGCAAGAACTTGAAGTCAAAGAATTTAACTTATATCTTCATCTGTGATGTGATTCAGTTACATGAATTATCTGTGAATATTATCTCAGATAGAGAATCAATCTTCACAGAAGAGTTCTGATCTGATCTGATATTTATACTGAAGATCTCATGAGATCTAAGTATGACTTTTTATCAACAGACAGATGATCAGATAGAATATCTGATAAGTATATTAAAACAGTATCTGCAGTATTTTATCAATTATAATCAGAATAACTGAGTGTATTGATTATCACTTACAGAGTTTGTATATAATAACTCAAAACATGTTAACACAGATAAAACTCTCTTTGAGATACTTACTAAGACTCATCTGCAGATGATCTTGATAAATCTATGAGAGTATACTATAGAGTGTGATAATGTCTGTGAATGAGCTGAGAGAATTCAGAAGATTCAGAAGAAAGCCTGTGAATTCTTGAGAAAGACTCAAGAGTATCAGAAGAGATACTATGACTTTAAGCATATTATAAAGAGTTTTAAGAAAGATAATAGAGTCTGACTAAGTCTAGAAAATATTATCATGCAGAGATCTAGTAAGAAGTTAAATCTCTTATAAACAGAGTCTTATAAGATTATAGAAAAAGTTAGTTTACAGTTCTACAGATTGAAACTGTTATCTGAGTTATAGATATATAATGTTTTTCATATCTCTTTACTCTGTGAATATAAGAAATTCTTAGAAGAGAATTCTGTGACTCATCACTCTGTCTGTGAAGTATTAGAGAGTGAAAAAGAATATCAGATTAAAGAGATTATTGACTTAGAGAAGTGAGATTATAAGCTCTGATTCAAGGTTCAGTGATAAGAGTATTCTGATAAGATAAATGAGTTCACTTAAGAATCATCTGAGTAGATAAGATATCTGCAGAAGCTGAGACATGACTTTCATGCTGTGAATTCTGATAAGTCAGAATGACACAGTCTTTGCTAAGAACCTGATTATAATAAAGATATTAACACTGTCATTTGTAAATCCTAGTCTATAAGATAATGAGTTTCTACTGAGATGAACAGTCTGCAGTGTATATAAGAGAAGAAGAAATCATATTCTTATTAAAGCTAAAAAACAAGAAAACAAACAGAGTCATGAACACAATTTGAAGATCAATAAAGAAAAAATAAAGAAAACTTAAACTCACATTCTCATCATCTATAACACTCAATTCTTTCACAACTACTACTTTCTCTCTTCAAAGAAGCAGAGAGTATCATGCCTGTAATACAGACAATTATTGCATTTGATATGAAGGTTATCAGAAATGCACAGACTTCAGAGAAACTGAATATCAGAGTATATACAATTGTAGCAGAGTCTTAAGAGCTGGTCATCTGTGCATGTGATCAGATATCTCTTATAAAGCTGTATCTGCTTTCTTAGTTATGCTGAAGTATTCAGTCTGAAAACAATTGAGATATAAAGAGAAGACTCATCTGTTCAGATCAACTTCTGTCACAAATTCATGACATTTGCATTGTCTTAATTATCTGGATTTTGCGGGTATCTGGGGATTCATCTCTCATTGACAATGAGATTGCAGAAATGCACTGCAGTGTGAGAATCATTGATAGAGAATCTAGACATATTCACATATGCCTGATCAGTGATTGTGTGAGTAGAGAGAGAGTGATTGTAGGCCTGTGAAGTCACAGAAGACACTGATAATACAGAGAGCTTTGTAAGAACTGTCAGCTAGAGTCTGTAAGAAATTACTTATGAGAAGACTTACAGCAAAGAAAGAGACTACACTGCTTAAAGCCAGAGACTGATCTGAGAGAGACAGGGAATTGACTGCTGGTCTGAAGATCAGATGCAGTGACAGAACTGAGAGAAGTGAAGATATAATTGTGAGCAGCAGCATTCCTGCTCTATCAGCTGATAAAAAGTAATCAGAGAAGTTGCAGAGATGCTCACAAGAAGCTCAGTGACAGTCAGACATTGTTGTAAAGATGTTGAAATTGAAAAATTTTTATTCTTGAGAAGTTCTTGAATTAATATACAGACATTGTCAGAAACACTCTCTCTCTATCATCTGAGTGAAAACACTTCACAGATGAATGAGAATACTCATAGTTTATAAGAATAAGAGCTGTTATAGAAAAAGAAAAAAGAAGATGAGATTCTGTGAACAGATCTGAAGTATTTATACTACTCTAGAGAGATTTGCTTACACTGTGAGTGATTCTGCAGAACAGTCAGATCACTCTAGTAAATAAAAGTGATTGTGAATTGCAGGCCTGAATCTTTCTATATAACTATAAAGAGTGATTACAGACTGTAGATATCTTGATTCTACAATTCTACAGAGTTAATGAAAGAATGAAAAATTCCTCACAATTTTACAGTGTCAAAGAACAATGATTTACAAGAATGAGTAAAAGATTAACTCATAAATATTTCTCTTTGATAAGAGTAATCTTACAGAGAGTGATTCATCTGTGAGATGAATCTGTATAATAATCACACAAGAATCTTGTGAAAATGATTGAGAGTCAACTGAAACTCTTCTGTATGAAAGATATGAGATGAATCTGTGTGATAGTTAGAGAAGAATCTGTAGATTATAAAGAATCTCACAGAATAAGAAACTGAGTAACAGACTCTTTTCTCTTTATAATAACAAGGAATTTTTCCTCACTGAGGTTTTTTATAGATATAAAGAGTTTTTAGTGAGTATCACTGCAGTGCTGAGCTGATTCTATGAAGTCACTCAGTGAAAGACTTCACAGATGAAGTCTTAGAGAGGGAGAAATATGTAAGAAATCCTGCTTCTTGCAGATTCTTTACTTCTATTTCTATCTCTCATGTAATCAATAGAGCTAGCAGCTCTTGACTACACATAACTATATAGACTGGAGTTCATGAATACTATTCACAACTCAGCTTGAATGCTATTATACATTTAATCTCTACATTTTATCTTTCTACTGTGAATACTTCTAGTAGTTAACAGTACATATCACGCCAAGCTGCAAACACCCGAATAATCGCCTGCGAGCACTTATTCTTACAATTTCACATCTCTGATATAGAAGAATTAAATCTGCTTATACATTAATAAGTAAAGAGAATGATTTATAAGACCTCATCTGAAAGCATTCTGTATGTTATACAGAATCTAGAAGTGAAGAAAATCAAGATAAAAGATATGTAGAAGAATAAGTGTATAAAGAAGCTTCTGAAGAAGTATGAAAAGATCTTCTGAACAGATCTTTCACTGAAATTACTACTGAAATGAGAATTTATACATGAGATTAATATGAGAAATATAAAATCAGTCAATCAGAATGTGTACTCTCTGTTATAAATATATCTTGAAGAACAGAAGCATCAGATCACAGATCTTCTAGAATATAATCTTATATAACTCTTATCAAGTGTGTGAGACTTTTCAGTTCTATTTGTGAAAAAGACAGATGAGAAGTAATAAATGTGTATTGATTACTGAGCACTCAATAAGCTTATAATTAAGAATGAATATTCACTGTCATGAATTCAACAACAGTTGAATATGATTGAAAATGCCTGATATCTATTAAAGATTGATCTTCTCTCAGAATACTGACAGATCTGTGTAGATAAACTATCAGTCTCATGAACTGTATTTAATATACAATAAGAGAAGTTTGAATTTCTGATAATATTATTTAGTCTGATAAATGTACCTGTCATCTTTCAAATGATGATGAATATGATTTTTTATAAATAGAATGAAACCTCATGTTGTCAGCGTGGCTCAGTTGATAAGACTGATAATCAAGGCCGCACACATTAGAGGTGCGTGGGTTCGAATCCCACTGCTGACATCTGTCACTTCTTACTCATGAAAGCCCTCATGTAATAGAGGCTGAGCTTAATTAGTAAGACTTGATATGAGGTAGAACTCTCTACTGCAAGCCAAGCCACTAGTTAAGTGAGATTCTGCGAACACTCATCAGAGCTGATATGAGATGTCAATGTCTCACTATTCTACTATACATCTGTCAAGGTTCTAATAATATAGAGCCAAGCCTAATGTAGTGATTGTACACTACTTAAGTGAGTCTCTAACTAGAACTGTCATCAGAGCCTAGCTCTCTCTCAAATACAGAGAATGATTTTGAAAACTATCTGACTAGCAGATCTAGATGTGTATCTAGACTCTAGACAGAGTATTCTGATAGGCTTGAGTCTGCAAGCTCACTGTCAAGCCTAATACTGACAGAGAGAACTGCAGTCATCAAGTCTATGATTAGTCTCTAACACAGGGCAAGGCCATGATGACTGATTAATAGGCCTATGAGCATCTAATGAGGCTGAGATCAGCAATCAGAAGCTTGATGTATACATCATCAAGTGAGCAGTGACAGTCACTAACTAATGCCTCTGAAAATTAGTGGCTGGCCTGAGAGAACAGACATGGTGATCAGTTAATTATAGAGAGTTAAATGTAATTAGCTTAAGATGCATTCTGCGGGTGACTAGTACCCGTAGTCATCTTCTATTAAAGTAATGAAAATTGAAGCTTCAATTTCTTCTTCTGCTATTAGATTTGAAAAGGCCTGTATGAACTATGCTCTGAGAGTTGTAAAGATGAGCTCAAATCATATAATCAGAGAAAGAGTCTCTTCTTCATTTTCATCAATTAACTCTGAAAATGAACTGGATTAAAATAGATTTCTTGATTGAAATGAAAATAATTCTTCAAAGAAAATGCCTTCTCAACTGTACAGACTATGCTCTCTGATTAAAAATCAATTTTCTTCTTTAAATATTGAAAAAGTTGATTATGAGAAGTTATCTCTCTGAAGAAAAAAGCTTGAATCTCTTATAGACTTACAAATAAGTGAACTATTAAAAGAGAAAGAAGATGAACAGTATTTGAAGAGAATTTTTACAATCAATATAAAAGACTCTATTCTGATTTATTCAGATGACTCAAAAAATGAGAACTTGAATAGATTAGACACAGGCATTGCTTATACTGAAGATAATATTAATTTTATCTCAGATTTCTGAAATCTAGGCTCTGAATGTGAAGTCTTTGATACTGAACTATTTGTAATAGTGAAAGCTTTCAAACTCATTGAAATAAAATCTTATAAAAGAGGAAATTGTTTGAAAGAGATATGAATATTCTCTGATAGTCAAGCTGCTTTAAAAAGACTTAGAAATAGTCAGATTCATAATGATCAAATGAATCTTGCACTGATCTTAAACTCTGTTTTAAAAATTCAAAAGAGAAGAACATCAAAGCTGAGAATTCATCTGCACTAAGTTCCTGCTTATATGAATATTCATGGCAATGAATTGACTGATTCAGCTGTAAAAAAGAGTGCAGAATTAAGCAGATCTATTCAAAAAATTATGTCCTGATCTTTTATAAAGAGAAAAATAAAAGAATCTTGTTTAGATAAGTGAAATGAAAGCTGGCAGAAACAAAAGAAGAGTATACATTATTCAAGATTTGAAACAAAACCCAAGTGAAAATCTTGTTTAATTAAATGTAAAAAGAAAATATTCTCATCTATAATACAGCTGAAACTAGGACATGACTATTTCAAATCTTATATACAAAGATTTGATGATAGATTTGACTCAATAGAATGCTCATTCTGTAATACAAATGAGAATCCTGAGTATATTATAATGCACTGTGTATTATACAATAGTCTCAGAGTCAGATTGAAAGAGAAGTATGATCTAAATCAATTAAATATGAGATTCTTATTCTCAACTGAGACAGGAATTAAATACTTAATAGACTTTCTATCAGAAACTCAAGCAGCTACAAGAAAATGACTAAATTCAGAATTATCTGAATATGAAGAGAAGGAAATCAATCAGATATAGCCTGTTAAAACAGCTATACACTCTCTTTTAATAATTTGTTTTGTTATAGTCTCTCTTTACTTTATCTTTTTCTGTATCTTTTTCTTTCAGTTTCTTTCTATCTATCTATTTAATGTGTCTATCTTTGAGACTGTGTTCTTTCTCTCTTTTCTTTTGTCATGATATTGTCAAATGGTTTCAAAGTATCAAAAGATGTTAAAACACTGCAATTTGTAAACAGTTTTTGTATTCTGAGCTGGAATTTTCTGATTTTGCATATCTGAAATTGATGAATGTACAATAGATAACTTTACAGACATAGAAAAAACCCTGAGAACTAAAGTTCTCAGGTAGATGTCATAGTCTCTGACTGCATACATCTATAATTGAAGAATAATAATAATAATAATAAACCTCATGTCTCATATATCTTGATAACATTCTAGTCTTTTCAAACTTATATGATGAATATCTGAAGTATCTTGATAAAGTGCTTATAACTCTGACAGAGTATAAGCTCTATATTAAATCAATCAAGTGTGTGTTTGAAATGAAAGAGTTGAAGTTTATAAAACATGTAGTGAGTGATGACTGTATATGTCTCATTTCAGAGAAATTAAATGTCATAGTGAATTGACTGCAGCTGAGAAATGTACATTATGTATAATAGTTTCTTAAGTTGATCTTATACTACTGTAGATTTATCAAGGATTTTGTATGAATATCTGCATCACTCTCAGATCTCTTAAGAGAAATGAATACAAATCTGTGAAGAAGAAGTTTCATTCAATCATCTGAAATGCTGTGTGTGAAGAGGCTTTTCTCACACTGAGAAAACATGTAATAACATTCTCAGTGCTTATTCAATCAGATTGTGATAAACCTTTCTACATTGAGATGAACACATCTGAATGAGCTATCAGAGGCACTCTTCTACAGATGAGTAAGAATGACAAGCTGCACTCAGTGATATATAATGATAGAAAACTATCAGATGCTGAGCTCAATTACTCAGTGTATGAAAAGAGATTGCTAGTGATCAAGCATACACTGATGTTATGAGATAGATATATCAACAACAGATATATAATAATGATGATTATGAATCATGAAAGTCTTATCTATCTACAATTAATGATAAAACCTTTTAAATACTTAGTATGTTGAATCTCAGAGTTTCAAGTGTACAATCTTCATATTAAATATTAAAAGAAATTGAATGCTGTAGTATCTGATGCAATCAGTTGCAGACTCAATTTCATGAATGAGAGTTCTGTAAATCAGGTACAAGAAATGTTCATGTTAAACATGCTAAGAGAATGCAAGAAATCAGAATAAGTGAATGTTATAATCTCTCACTTGAAGAATGACAAGATGTCAGATGATAAGTGTCTTATAAAAGTAGTAGAAGAGATGCTTCTGAACTTCAAGCTGAGAAAATTGAAAAATAACATTGTGCTTTACTGCAATCTAGAATATGCAGAAGCTCTCTATCTAGAATCTTCATTTAGATGTGACTTGATGACTCACATGTACAAGGAATTCAGTCACTTAGAAAGCTCTGAACTTATGAGTGTACTTAAATCAAGAGTATACTGATCAAGTATAGCTAAGAACATTCAGCTATACACTTACAAGTGCCTGAATTGTCAGATTGTGAAAGAATCTAAGAAAGAGTTAGAATATAAGAAAGCATAATATCAGATAAAGTGTATAATACAACTGTTTAAATGATGAGAGATGAACCTCATAGACATATTATCACAAACATCAAATGAAAATCAATGAATAATCACTCCTATTAATTACACTACTGACTGATCAGTTACAAAAGCAGTTTCAGAGGTGACAGAGAAGATGATAGCAAAGTTTCTACATAATGAGATCTATGTCAACTATGAAATGCCACATGAGATTCTAACTGATAACAGTGTGAACCTTGTGAGAGAAGTGATGAGGTATTTTGTGAATCAGTTACAGATAAGACATTGTAGAACAACATCATATCATTCACAGATGAATGAGAAGATGAAATACTTGAATAAAATCTTGAGCAATATACTGATGAAATATCTAGTGAGCAAGCCTACAAGACTATAAAATGAATATCTCAGACAGGTGCTATTAATCATGTGAATTCAACAGCATACAGTCTTCAAGCATTCATCATTCTATCTGTTGTATGAATTGCATCTGCGCATCCTGGAGAATGCTTCAGAAAAGGTGAGAAAGAGAGCAGTTGCAGATGCAGTAAGAACAGCAGTTGCAGACACAGCAGAAACAGCAGTTACAGATGTAGCAGTAGCAGTTGTGAATGCAACAGTTGCAGATGTGGAACCAAGATTGAAAGAGATCAGTCACACACGTGCAAAAGCTAATAAGTTACTTCTGAACTGAGCAATTCAATTGAAAAGAATATGAGACTCACTAGTTAAGAAATCAAGTCTCAAGATGAGAATGTGAGTTCTTATATACAATAAGAGTTCTGAGAAGTTTCAATCTAGATGGTTTGAGTTATATAAGATACTTAAATCACATTCTCTGAGAATGTATGCATTGAAAGAATCAGAGAGATGAGTCTTATACAACTTAATTAATATTTCATAACTTGTGAAAGCAAAGATGCAAGACTTGAGTGAATTATAATTATTCACAGCACTATTATCAGTGTTGAAAAAGAAGAAACTTACAATTAAAAAGTCTTGCAAAGTAAGAGAAATCATAGATGCTTACAAATCAGATAATCTCACTTATTTCAATCTTTTCACAATTATAAGAAAAGAATGAGAAGAAATGAAGAAATCAGACAAACATCACATTTTAATAAGTGATGAGACTGTAGTCAGTTGTATGATAACATATCACAGACAGTGAGTGTAACACAGTAAAGAGTGATCTTAAAGCAGCAGACTTACATATGAGTCAGATTACAGAAGAAAAAGAAATTCAGAGTTGAATTCAACTGTTTACATCAGTTCAATTGCAGAGATTACAGAGAATGAACTATCTGAAACATTCACAGACATATGAGACTAAGTTATCTCAATCGCTAAGAACACTCAGAGATTGAGTGAGATTAGTTTCAATGAGCTGTTCACTGTAGTGATCTGAGCAGGTGAAGAGAGACAGTATAATACATAAGACAGAATTACAAAAGATGAAAGCTGCTGAACTTAGTCACTGAATACTGTATCATATAGAGATTGTATAAGAGTAGTAACTAGCAGATAAAGAAAAAGTGTAAGAAAAGAAATAATGAATTGAGCATCAACTGTAAGAGTCAGCTATAAAAGACAAATGTTATCATACATACTTCATTCATTTTCATACACTATATATTTAATCTATTTTCAATATCATATCATCTGAAAAACACTAAAAACAAAGGAAATCTCAAAACTCAAGATCTGTAAGAAATTTGAGAGCTGTAAGCTACTCTTATAACAATGCTGTGCATATCTCTGATTTCTCTATCACTCTGTATATGACATTAATGTCATTTATTGCAAGATTGACTGGAATGCTAATATAGAAATGCACACATGTACATGTAGAGAAATTAAAGAAGAGTATGAGACTCACAGAATCAGAAGCCAGAGTAGAGAGAGCAGAGATGAAAGAAACAGAAGAAGAAGAAGATGCAGAACTGAATAAATGATAGCAGAAGCTACTCAGAACTGAATGCTTATAATCTGATATATACACAATCTTTCTCACAGAGAAGGGAGAGAATGTGATGAAAGAAGCTTGAGAGTGAAAGAAAGTAGTCTCAGCAGTGTTATCATCTTTAATTAAAATAGCCTCTGACACTGAAGCAACTAAGAACTATTGTTAGTGTATGAAATCACAAAAGCAGAGGTAATAATTACTGAATGAACACTCACTGATCTTAGAATTATACACATAATTACAACATACATGAGGCTTCTCAGAAAGAGAGAGAGAAACATGAGAAAATACAGGAAGCAGAACACAGTATATGAACAGCTCATTTCTACAATGACATCTCAGACAAGACATACAAGTCTTACACTCACAGGTGTAAAAGAGTATAATATCTATGTTTCTGTTTCTGAAAACACAGATATCTTTCATCTGCATCACAAAGTTAGATAATAGATATCAGAGAATAGTCTGATACAGATCTATCATTCTGAAGAAATTTATTAGAGCAGATATCTCTGTGATATTAAACTTTACAGTTGTGAAAAGCTTCTTAATGTCTGTGAATGTCATAACTTCATACATAGTAAAACTCATAATAATTTTCTCTAAGAACAGAAAATCAGTGTCAGAAAGAAAAGATGAAAAAGAAAAAGACTTATAATCTTAATACTGTTAAGAGAGAGAGTGATTCTCTGAAATGAATGAATAATTATCTTATTATAAATATTTAAAATGAATGTAATAATCAGTGTTTATGACTGAGCTTCAGATAGTTGTGTCATACACAGTCTTCATACAATAAATTATTCTAGAAGTCAGTAAGAAAGACAGAAGTGTATACACTGAGAAACATGATTTATCAAGTCTATGCAACATCTTCTTGAAACAGAGAGAGCTGATAATAAAAGCAGAGATGGCAAAACCAGAAGAAGCAGAAGTAGCAGAAGTGAGAGTCACAGGAACAGAGATAGCAGAAGTAAGAGAATCAGATACAGAGACAGATGTAGAAGTTTGAGAGAGAGTGATAGAGAAAGAAACAGAAGAAGTAGAAGATGACATGAAAGACTCAGTTACATATGACATGAGCAATTTCTTCATTATCACATTCTTCAGATTCTCAATCAATGATTCAATATTGAGTTTACTATCATTAATGAAAGTGAATCTGTCAATGTATGAAGATTCTATATAAATAAAAACAAACATATCAGCATCTGCATTCATATAAAATTGTGTCAGAAAACATGATCAGAAACTCACTGAGAAGAAACAGTCAAGAGTATATAAGAAGATGAAGAAGAAGTATCATTCATGATAATATGTTCTGACAATTGTTAGAAGATAAATAAGTTCTGACTATATACATTTCATAATATATTACACTTACTGCTAATAAACTGTCTGATATGAGTACTACAATGACACTTGTTACAGAAACAGAGAGTCATTGCCAGGAATGTATACAATGTAATAGATGAACAGATAGAAAGAGTTGAACAGAAGAAGAGATAGAAATCTTGAATAATAATAATGTTCAATGATGATGAAGAAGATGATTAAAGAATGAGAAAAGTTAGAAAATAAGTGATGAAATATAGTGAAAGTTTCTTTATAAGAGTGTACACAGAACACTAGCCGAATCAGAGATAGATCACACAATCATGACATGCTAGTAGTGAGCTAATCCGCATGAAGCTAGGGTGTATAACATGGTCATGTGAGTGTGACTGAATCTGATGAGAAAGAATGTGATTCGGAAGAACATACAACTGTTGAATAATAACACAGCCACTTCCGAACTACTAGTGTATGAATGTAAAGAGGGTCATAGCGGCCACTAATTAATTTAGCATACAATATTACAATATATAAGAAGCCGGCGTATGCCTGTAATTGTACGCTGGCTTAAGCAACCTTTGAATCACATGATAACACTCAAATGAGATTTAAAGTCATTTAAAGCAATAAAAATAATTTAAATTGAGAAGTGAAAATCATGATCTCATTTGAAACATGTGATAAGAGTAGACAGTAAGTCTCACTGAAACAGTATGAAACTACTATCTAATGTTAAAACTGTGTAATGAGATCAGTTAAATTGATAATAAGACTATCAAAAAATCTGATTCTGGTCTCAGACACAGTTACATAGTCAGTCTAACTGTCTATCACTCTGAGACTGATAATGCATCAGAACAGACAATTCAGACTGTAAAGAATTATCTTCATAAGTTCTGCAATTACTTATAAGATGATTGATATAATCTTCTTCTATATACAGAGATTGCTGTCAACAGTTAAGATGTTATTTCAACAGATGTAAGCCTGTTCTTTCTTATAAATAGATATTATATGAAAGTGTTGAATCTTCTAGAGATCACACAGTTCACACTGAACTTTCACAGTTTAATTCAGATTATTAATAATATAGTAATGAAGTTCTAAGATGTCTGTGATTAAGCAGAGATCTTCATGACAACTGTAAAACAAGATCAAGAGAACTGAATCAATGTTCACTGAGACTCTGCAGAATAATATAAGATAGAAGATCTGATATAGTTGAATCTTAAGAATATAGAAATTATATGTTCATCTTGTATGCTAGATTACTATTATATCAGGTATAAAGTGATAGAAGTTCTAGATAGTCACAACTACTATCTTGATACATTATCAGAGATTCATGATGTATTTCACACAAGCTTGCTCTGTCATACTTAGACTGACAGTGTGACCGTGTCTAAGACCAGAATCAGATTTTTTGATAGTCTCATTATCAATTTGACTGATCTCATTACACAGTTTTAACATTAGATAGTAGTTTCATACTGTCTCAGTGAGACTTACTGTCTACTCTTATCACATTTTTCAAATAGAATCATGATTTTCACTTCTCAATTTAAATTATTTTTATTACTTTAAATGACTTTAAATCTCATTTGAGTGTTACCAAAAAGCGTTACTTTTTAAAAATTAAAAATAGTCTTAAAAAAACCTTAAAATGTCTAAAAATAGTAACTTTATGTCAAGAATGAAACTAAATGAGATCAAATGAAATCACTTTCTCATTTTTTTCAAGTCATGGTTTCATTTTAAGATCTGATATATAGTCACTTTACATGTTTTTTTGATAGTCAGTCTCAGCGGGATTCACATCAAGAAATGTATAGAATCAGACTAAATGAGATCAAATGTGAAATTCATAGTTCTGGTGATCAGTCTAGTTATACTGTCACTGATTCATTCTCTTCTCAGCTGATTTCTGACTAACAGTTATCAGACATCATAGAAGAAGATAATGAGCTTGAGTAAGAGATTGAGAATATTCTCAGTGAGAGATTTCACAGCTGCAGCTGATAATATCTGATAAAATGAGTTAATTATGATTAACTGATCTGAACTCTGAGTTCTGTATTATCTGAAACAGCAGCTCTTGACTGATGAAAACTACTTCTGAAAAGAAGAGACTAATGTGACAGACTGCACTTAATCAATTATATAGACTATTCTGTTACACTTCACAGATTTCAATCACTTTATTCTTGAACACCTACACTCTGATTCTCAGTCATTCTCAATCATCAATTCTCAGCTGTCATAAACACATATGCTCTGATTCTCAGTCATTCTTGATCATCAATTCTCAGTTGCTATAAACATGTATATATTCTTCTGCTCTGAAGCTTCACTGCGTACATTATTACATACATGTATAAATATTCATCTTAATTACTGATTCTCACACTTTCTCTTTCTTTCCTTCTCTAACATTTTCATCTTTGTTAAATAAGATCTATCAATATAATACTGATTGATTCAGCGCAGGCCTCTTACATTATCTTTAATATTATTCTAGTTATTATCTATAAACAGTCGAAGAGATTTACTATATATTCACAGTTATTAATATTACTTCAGACATACTTGCATATCTTTTCATTAATAATATAGTTTATCTATATAACATGTCTGTTATTCTTATCTCAGACAGAGATTATCTCTTTATCTCAGAATTTTAACAAATTCTCTCACAAACTCTGAACACAGATTACAGACTTTCAACAGTATATTACTCACAGACTGATAAATAAATAGAAAGACAGAACTGTGAGTTGGAAATCTATATTTATGTTTATATAGACTATCTTTAAATTAACTGAGTGAATCTTGTAGCTCTTACAGAGTTTGTATATAGTAATTCAGTTTATTCAGTACTAGATATTACACTCTTCTTTATAAATCTAGAATATTATTTATCACTACTGACTATATCTGACTTCTCAGTCTCAGAACTGAATTACTCAGATACTGAATATTACACAGTACTTGTCAGAGAAGTCTAAGAGAAGACTTACTTCTATCTACTACATACTCAAGATCTCATGATTCACTATATCTGTGACAATTCTCAAGAATTCAAAGAAGAAGATCTAGTCTTTCTCAATAATAAAAATATAAAAATATGATATCTTAATAAGAAGTTAAATCATAAGTTTCTAGAACTCTTCACAGTATAAAACTATAGTAACACTTAAGTCTACAAGCTATCACTACTCTTATTATACTATATATATAATGTTTTTCATATGTCTCTTCTAGAATCTCACAGAGTCACAGAAATTAATAACAATCATATATTCTCAGAGATTATTCACTCAGAAATAGATAATATGAATAAAGACTATAATATTAATGAGATTCTAAATACAAAACTTCTAAGAGAGAATAAAGTCAAGTCTCTTAAATATTAACTTAGAAAAGAACTTCAGTTCAATGAGTGAATAAATCTCACTTATCTCATTAATACTTAATTATATATAGAGATCTTTTATAAGTATTATTCTTATCAGCTACAGTCTTCTTCTCTTAATAATATTGTTCTCAGTGTATTAGCTGAAATAATCAATTAAGCAGGCATGCTTCTCTCATTTCAAGTTCAATATCATAGATTATAATTAGACTGGCTGCTGAGATTATGAATTTCATGTTTGATTTCATTTGATCTGATCTCATACATTTCTTGACATGAATTCTACTGAGACTAATTATTAAATAAACATGCAAAGTAACTATATATCAGATCTTAAAATGAAATCATGACTTGAAAAAAATAAGAAAGTGATCTCATTTGATCTTATTTAATCTCATTCTTGATATAAAGCTACTATTTTTAGACATTTTAAGGTTTTTTTTAGACTATTTTTAATTTTTTAAAAAGTAACACTTTTTGATAATACTTAAATGAGATTTAAAGTCATTTAAAGCAATAAAAATAATTTAAATTGAGAAGTGAAAATCATAATCTCATTTGAAAAATGTGATAAGAGTAGACAGTAAGTCTCACTGAGATAGTATGAAACTACTATCTAATGTTAGAACTGTGTAATGAAATCTGTTGAATTGATAATGAGACTATCAAAAATTCTGATTCTGATTTCAGACACAGTCACACAGTCAGTCTAATTATCATAATATCAACACACTGATTTAATACAATAATCGGCACTGAATCTAGAGCAGAGCTCATCTCACTAGTATATAATTCTAATATATAATAGAGCTGAGAGCCTCTGCTACTACAATCTCTAGAGCAGAACATGTTCTGCTAGAAATTTCAGAACAGAGCTTGTCTCACTGACTAACTAGAGCAGAGCTTGTTCTACTAGCAATGAATCACAAATATTAATATATCATCATATATATGTACGTATTTTTCACCACAGAAAGAAGAACTCATGACAGAGATAAGAAGGCAGAATATAAGAATCTTAGAGCATAGAGCATGGTCAGATAACTTATACAAGTCTTGCCATCTCATATTCACCCGCTCATCTCTAGCTTAGATAGCTTCTTCTTCTTCTTCTTCTTTAAGATTCAGTTTCAATATAATGTAGTTGTTAGAGCCGTGTCACTGATGAATATCAGAGTGAAACTGTAGCTATACAACAGATCATGATATTACTGATTCTTGAGTAGAAGAACTAGCTATGAAAGAAGAGCAGGAGGTATAAGGTTATTACAGCCTGTGTGAGTCATGTGATGACTACATGACAGTGCTCTAAGCTCTAGTGACCTTACACTCTGCCTCTTCACCTTTCTCACGCCTCTAAGAGTGATGAGATGAATGTAATGTATATTAAAAGAATATAATTACATAGATAACATGCATGAAAGAAGAAATATA